TTCCCCCATTCCCACCCCACCTCCAACACACTCATACTAACTCACATTGAGTGCATGAACCAATAATAATAGAATGTACATTTACAGTGGCACCACCCATCCAAGCCAAACTGCTATTGTATCCCCCACTAAGAGTGCATAGACATGAAACGGAACTCGAGCACCCTTCTAAAAACCTAATAACATTTAAACGCTCAGTGATATGTTTTTGATCTATCATCATTTCACGACCGTTTTCTCTTTTACAGATCGTATATGCGAGGTCAGACCGCCTTGGTTGCGCCCTGAACAAATGCCAGAGGATAAAGGCCGGCAGTGTGATGGAGGGACCCTCCTCTCTCTTTGTCTGTTTCTACTCCCCATCGTGAGTGATGATTTCGGATGAACTCAAAGGGAGCATCATTTTCGTTGTACTTTACATGTAGTAATAACTGAGTTCAGTAAAGAGAAGCAGCCCGACACGTTGACGGTACTTTAGAGTTGAAAAGGAAATGTAAGACAGTCAGACCGAGATAAGTCGAAAGTAAAGAAGTAAAGAAGTGTGGCGGTCTCTAAGATCAGTGCGTACATGTAGTAATGATTTTGAATTGACGACACTGGATTAATGGTAACGTTGGAGGAAGGCCGTGGCTGAGTTGTGGTGAGAATGAATTCACAGAGGCCCCCACTTCTACGGAACTTTTACGCAGTAAGATGATTATGATAATAATGATGATGACGATGACTCAGATGCACACGAGGAAGCCTGCGTGGCGAATCGTTAAGCCGATTTAATAAACCAAATGTTAACCTTTTTAAATTGATTTTTTAAATCTGCAAATCAAATCAGGATTATCACTATTTTCTCTGCTTTTTAAACAATGATGATGATGATGAAGGTGATGGTGGTGATGATGATGATGATGATGATGATGATGATGATGATGATGATGATGATGATGATGATGATGATGATGATGATGATCCGCTGTAAATGATAACTGCACGACTAAAATAAGAAACGTGAAATGTACTCTCACTCACTCCCTGGCCACTCCCTTTATCTTTGAAACATCCAGGCCTTGGGTGATTACCTGATCTCTGATTGTTCTCCTATAACTGCCAGTTGATTTACTTCTTTTCCCATTAGGTCTCCAGTACCATGTCTTATAGGGCAACCTTGACTCTAGCATTCCTAAAACATATTCCAAATGACTTTTTCTTCTTCTTCATGTGGTCTTATTGATATCTCAAATCCCAGCTTTTTCCAATACTTCACTACTAGTGAAAATTTTTTAAATTCAGGCACCTATTTAAGATGTTTAAGATAGGGTGGTTTTTTTTTTCGTTTTCAACTCCTCGGGCTGTTAGAAGTGCCTAATAGTTCCATTGGAATTATTCCCCTCCTCCAACAAATAAACGAGGGTATATCGTCTGCTTTCTGTTTCAGAAGAGATGTATGCATTGTTAAGAAACATTTTTGTTGTGTTGCACTGCACTTGTTTTCTTTCATGAATATCTTTATTATTATATTATATTGATTAATTAATTAACTTGTGTG